TTCAGAAAAAAAACATCATTTTTTATCCTATAATAGCTCATCTTCAAAATACTTATTAATTAAGCCAATAATAGTTTTTTTTTTACACTATTTTATACGAATCAATGTAAAAGAAGAGTGAATTTTTTTAATTAAAAAAATATCTTCTCATTAAATAATTGATACAACTACCACACGATCAACACTAATAGGTGTGAATCACACACCATTTTACGAAATAGATTTAAAATTTAAATTTTAATATAATCTATATTAAAAGATTATAAATATTAAATTTATAAAATAATTTATTTGTATTTAATATTTATTGATTTATAAATTTTTATTTTATGTTAAAAATATTATAATTAAATAAATTTAATATGATAAAATTATATTCGTAATTTATTCTAGATATGACCAATAAACTTAGAAATAATTCTATTCCGTACCCCACCCTCCACACACAACAAAAATCAATGTCAACCTCACAATCCTTCAAAAACCCATTGGCCAAAATCTAGTGAATTTTTACTTATACATTTATGTTTTGCGTCGAAAATATTTAATTTTATGAATTGACATGGCAAAGTTACATGTACGTTTGAGTCCCCTATATCAAATTCTATAATTTCATTGGCCAAAAGACTTAGAAACAACTCAATATATTCCTCAGCGTCACTCAAAAATCAATGTCAACTTCACCATACTCTAATTTTTTTTAAATTTAATTTGATATATTTTACTCATAATTAAATTTATGTTTCATATAAACATATTGAATTCATATAAATCTATTCCACATCAAATTGTAGTTCATTCATAAAAAAACATAAAAATAATTTACTTCTCCACCCTTTACCTCCATATCGAAAAATTAATATCAGACTTCACAATCCTCCAAAAATCTATGAATCAAGTTTAATAAACATTTACGCATGAATTCACATTTCATGTTTAAAGTACATATGAATATGATGTTGTGAAATTGCATTCAATTCTGAATCTCCGATATCATCATCGACAAAAGAAAAAACATAGAAATAATTTTACTTCTCCACCCCCAACTCCCATATCAAAAAATTAATATCAGACTTCACAATTCTCCAATAATCTATTAATCAAGTTTATTTACACATAAATTTACATTTCATGTATAAAATACTTAGTAATTCATATGAATATGATGTTGTAAAGTTACATTCATCTCTAAATCTCCAATATCAAATTCTATATTTTTATTGGTCAAAAACTATAGTTATTATTTAACTTTATTCTCCACTCAAATCAAGAATCTACAAGGCACTAAGAACGCCTTTGTTGACACCTCTACCCTACATTCACTCAAAAATCAATGTCAACCTCAGAATCCTCCAAAAATCCACTAACCAATTAATGTATGCCTCTTGGTTGTTTAATAAGAGGCCTATCTTTGTCCATTCTCTTTTTTGGTAATAGTATATTTTTTAAATTAAGAAAAAAAAAAAAACTTTGAAGTTAACCACACAAATTTGAACAATCAAAATCTCCACACAGAAGACACGTTTTATTCTTACTTGCCATAAAAAAAATAACACATATTTTATGGTCATAAATCATAATTAGGGAAAATGCGCAACTACTCCTAACCTATGTCTGAAATTCTAGAGATATATTTACTTAATGAACTTATTTTTATAAATATTTTTATTCCTTTTCGGTCTACGTGACACTAACTTGAAAAAAAAAATCAACACGCACTGAGCCCACAAGACAATGTCACGTAGACGGAAAAGGGATGAAAAATTATTTATAAAATAAGTTCAGGGGTAATAGAACCTTAATATAGTATAAGCATGTATCTGAGATTTCGAGCATAGATTGGAGGTACTTTCATTTTCTCTCATAATTATAAATTTCGTCTTCGAATTCTGAATATGAAATTATTTTTGATAAATTAAATTTTAATATAAATATCAAATATGAAATGATTTTTTTATTCCATTACAAATCCTTGCCCCTTTCCCCTACACACAATATTAATTACAAATCTTTGCCCCTTTTCCCCCACACAAAATATTAATACTAATAAGTTAATTCCCTCATATTGCATTCTTCTCCCAACACAAGAATATATTCTCTCTTACACTATAGTTTTAGAGACACCAAAATAAAACCATCATTTCTCCCTTCAACAACACTCCCTCTTGGCTAGCTCCAATACTATAGTTTGTGGAGACTAGCCAAACCACACACACAAAAAAATCTTCCTTCTACAATTTGCTTCAAATTCATTCAATATCAACAATAACAAATTCAACGACACGTTCATTATGACGAACGAACGTGAAAATCCATCATTTTTTTCTATACATCCCTCAAGACGCCCCGACCCTAACAATGACAAGGCCGAATCAACAAGGCCTAATAATTTACTAGTCAAGAAAAATAACGTCACGATTAAACGTGATCAAGAAAAATTCAACAATACAGAAATTACGTCAGACATGATCAACGTGCACGTGGGACATGTTGGCGCGCATAACGAGGGCGGACCGATGAGGACAGATGATAGTGGACGTGAAAGATTGAAGAGACATAGAATTGAAGTGGCAGGACATGTATGGATACCAGAAATTTGGGGACAAGAAGAATTACTCAAAGATTGGATTGATTGTAGTGCATTTGATTCAAAATTGAATAATAATAATAATATAATGTCAGCTAGGGCTGCTTTGGTTGAAGAAAGAAGAAGAAATAATTCATCTTGCAGATTGAGAATTGAAAATAGCTATTGAAATTATGCACCAAAAAAAAAAAAAAAGATGAGTTTTAATTTTTATTTTATTTTTTTGGTTTTTTTTCTTCTTCTCTTTAATTGAACTGTTTTATTATTTTTATCATAATAATTGTGTGTTTCCATGTTAATACATTGAAGAAATACATATGTTTATGGTTGGGATGATAGCACTTATGGTCCCTCGATTATACGTAAATTCTTATTTCGATTTAGGTAGAAATATGTTGTTTTTTGAATTGTTACTTTTGGAATTTTATTACCGTCGAATATGAAATAATAGTATAAAATTAACAATGTTAAAATTAGTAATTATGGTTAATTTGTGGATATCTATGAGGAAATGATAAAAGTATGTAATTTTTATTAATTGAAAGTTTAATATACTTAATTGGGTATTAGCACGACTAAAATTAAAACTTATCGATAGTATTAGTATATATACATATATATTCCTTTTTTCTAAAAAAAATAAAAATTGGGGATTGGGGGTTCCGCGATAATGATAAATTTACGATTAGCCACTTTCCGCTCATGTAATTAAAATATAATTTTTATTTGTTACATTTGAAATTTTATAACTATGATTATTTTTCAAAAATAATGTCGAAAAATGATGAGAAAACTCTATTCTTACTCAATATAAGGATCTATTTTATTGTATGTAAAAATTCATATGAAATCGCCTTTTCAATTCCTATAATTGAAAAATAGTTACTATCATGAAAATAATTCCTTGATATTGCTATTGAATTGGACTTATAAAATGTGAAATAAAATAATAACCATTTTTCCTATTATAAAGTTGAAAAGTGACTAGTCCACACTATTGCAACCTTATATATTTATAACTTAATTGAAAGATTATAACTTATTCAATTTTTGATTAAAAATCACATCGATATATTAATAAACGTCTTCTTTTTTTTTTCACATGTACCCTAATTTTTCCAAAGGAAGGAAAATGATTTTTTTTTTCTTTTTCAAAGTCAAAACAAGGAAAAAAAAATAGGGATTGGAGTTAACCTTTGGAAAATTATATATTACGTAGATATGTCAAATCTTTTTCTATACATATACTATATGTTGAATTTCTTGAATTTGTCGCAAATTCAAAGTATTTTATTTTCAAAAATAAAACTTTTCGATATGAATTTGAAATCGGCTCAAAACTAGGTGCAAACGCCCATGGAAAGCCAAAATAAGAAGGTAAGAAAAAGCCATAACAGATTTTCAACATGTAACATAGATCACATAATGTGGGGTGGGATGGGGGTGGGGGTGGGGGTGGGGGTGGGGCGGTTGAGAGATGCATCCATCAATGCTTAAGTCCAACTTGTTATACAACATGCATGCATAAGAATATATCATACAGTAATAATGAACCCACCAAAAAAAAGATGGTCCCAGCTTTAATAAGTTCTTTACAAATTTGCAATTTATTCTTTTTAGTTTAATGGTAAAAACCACATTGAACTATCTGATTTTTTGCGAGTTTCACACTTTAATTATTGGTCGTTTTCTAGTGAATTATCACCATATTTTGTATTAAAACACATTTAATTATCAGTTATCAGCTGACAGCTATGATTCAACTTTGAGTGTACATAAGTAGACATTTAAATTTATATAAAATTGAACAAAAAACACATTCGTCCTACATGACACCCTACATGGCAATTTTGTATTTTACGTGGCGTCTTACATGTATTATGTCATGTAGGACACGTGTGTCTACGTACTTGTTCAATTATATACAAGTTTAATGTCTACTTGTGCACACTCAAAGTTGGAAGACATAGTTAACAGTTGAAGCCAAGTTAAGAGTCATGTTTATGTATTATGCATTCATTTTTTTACATGAACTATCACCATCATTTTAGTAGAAAAAGAAACAACAATAGTAGAGATGTGTTTTCATACATAGATAGTGATAGTTCAAATATAAAAAACGAGTAAAACTCGCGAAAATTAAATCATTGCTCATGTGTGTTTTTAACTATTATGTCTTTCATTTAGTTCTCTAGTACAATTCGTAGTAGTGATATTACTAAATATGAATTGGAGTGCCTATAAGAAGGGGGGAAGGGATAGTAGTCATAAGGCTCAAAATTACTGTGAATTAGGGGCGGGTATAACTCAGTTATGATGAGTTGAGAAATCCACAATACGTATATACAACCAAATGTGAATACAGTAGCATATATAAGTAGTGAATTCGGAGGATAGCATGAATCACCAAAACTCATAAACTTCAAATCTTGAGTACTTGTTTGCTGTGAATTATGGTTCTTAGAGCTACATCATTGATAAAAATATTGAAGCAGAAATGATGGTATCAACTTTGCACATATATTCTCTTATTTTTCTTATATAATATATAATAATGATATATATCACTAAGGAATGTGGTGGATAGCTAGAGTCCCTCTACCCTTGAGCAAAGGTCTCATATTCGAGAAAAAAAAAATTCTGGAAGTTTGAGGCTTCAACATGCTCAAAGTTAATATAACAACATATATTTTTTACTAGTATCATCTATGGCATTGTGGCTAGCAGGCCAGAGACAAACAAACTCCCATATCTTCACCGTTCCATCATCACTGGCGGACGCCAAACGCCTTTTATCCTGCAAGGTATTGATATAAGAAATTAAACACATTGAGAAATTTATTTGACCAAAGAGAATATTCTATTCAATTTTGTTAGTGAAGAAAAAAAAAGCTTGAATAAAAGAATAGGATTTAATCAAGACAGATACCGATCAAACCAAAGGTAATAAGCATAATATAGTGAATTCAACCATCCTAATCTTCGATAAGAAATAACAATACTGAATATCTGAGTATAAAACAGAAGACAAACATTTCGTTCCTTGAAAAACCATACAACAATCATGGCAAATTTGTAGAATCAAACATAACAACATTAGTCAGATCTGACACATCTTATCACCTATATATGTTGCACAGACTTCCAAAATTTCGCGAGTGTATGTCGGATCGTCCAAAACCTATGCATTTTTGGAGGATGATCATCCAAAAGTTATACATTCTTTTGGAGGATGCGACACACGTACGAGAATATTTTTGGATAATTCGAACAAAGTAGTTTATTACATGTATGTCAACAGAAGCTGAGGTCAACAAATATTCATTTTTAAGTCCAACCCTAAGAACCTTAAAGGTCGGCCTCATTAAACGTAAATTCTGAATTGCCTCTGATCGGTAAAACGCTCAGACGTTTCCAGATGATCTCAGCTTCTGCTCAAAGCTAAAGCATCTTTGTAGCATACTAATTGCAGAGTTTAAAGTAATGACAGATGAACAAGTAAATGTCAAACTCCTATCACTATAATATACCGGTGACTTACCCCAGAGTGCCATTTTACAGAATTTATGTTCGTTTCATGAGCCTTCTCCTTCTTCAAAAGTTGTTTGAATGGAAGTCCATCAACCTGTCATCAGACATAGTGTTATCAAAAGCAAAAAACACAAAAAAGCTCTAAGTTCCACTAGGGCTTTAAGCGAAAAGTGCAAATAAATCGTGGACTTAAATGAAAAAAGGCTCATAGAGAAGAAAAAAATACAAATATATATGTTTAGTCCAAGAGTGATAATCAAAAGCATGAATGACACATATACTAATAAAGAAATTCAAATAAAAATTACGATGAAGTGAAATATCAATTATTTACTGTTGCCTCTTTAGAGGACGCTCGTTGATAAATATTCAAGTTGAGAGAGATTTGGTGAGAAGAACAAAATCAGAACAAAGAACTGTCCTAAAGCCAGGGGAGAATGCAGCTTTAAGTTCCTTTGAACTAAAAGTTTTTTTGAAGTGGAGCATAAATTTATGTGTAAATGTCTATCAAAATTGCAATTACTAGTAAATATGAAGCCATAAATTTAAAACAAATGGGTTACATTGCTGAACGTTAAAGGTTGAAACCATAGAGCTTAAATCCTAAACTGGCCTCTGTCCTAAACAGTTAATTCTGCATGTCAAGGCTGAGGTAGTTTGTGTGTATCTCAACTAATCCACGGGCGCAGCATGTCTAGTATGATAGACAGGCAGCAAAGATAATTCTGCATGTCAAGGCCGGAGACGACAGGCCCACACCTAGTGGCAAAGAAGAACACCCCAGCTTCTTCCAGCTCCCGCAAGAAATTTGGGTTGATAGGAGGAGAGTTCTGGAGTACGGAGCTCAAAACTTGATCGTAAGATCAGTGTATATTGAAGAAGCTATATAATTGATTACTAATAGTACTAGTTTGGAAAGGCTCATTGGAATTGATCCGCTAGGGGAATAACATTATACACAACATAATAAGCACCTGACTTACAAAACTGTATAAGGGATATAGAAGGTTTTCCAATACCTCATTGTCCTTATTCTCGATAAATATATGTATAGCGTCATCAGCTCCTGCACTAGCAAATATTTTTGGGTCCTGTTCTTCCTCCTCAGGTACCCAACGGAGTGATTCCCTAACATATTAGAATAAACAGGGTTAGCCTGTAGGAATAGCTATAACATACCCAATAAAAAGAGATCAAACATGAAATCTAGACAGTCAACCAAGCTATGAATCATGCAAAATAGACCGTAAATCTTAAACTGCCCCTCCCCCCAATTACACACTTTGTAGAAAAGTAAAAACTGTCTAGATAAAAGTAATATTAAGGAGTGCAAATAGAAAAAAAAAAAGCATGTATTAGTTATAGATATAGAGTAGCTACCTCAACCAGTCAAATGCAAAGATTTTCGTATCATGATGTCCAGGTAGAGTGCAAACTTGTGACCTAACAAGCACAAAAAGGAGATGGTAGCAAATCAGGAATTGGAAAACATCGTAATTTGAGCAATATATACCCATTGTAGCCCCACAAAGCGGAGACTTGGGAGCTTAGAGTGTATCCAAACCTTACCCCTACCTCAAAGATAGAGAGGTCGTTTCCAATTGACCCTCAGCTCGGGAAACATGGTTACTGCTGAGAACTATTATAGCAAAGATAATTGACTAAATCCATGGACTATATCACACAAAAATCGGCAATAAACATCCATTTTCAAGGTCAAATGAACCCCGAGGCAGGTAAACCCCATTTTGCCGATTTTTGTGTACTATAGTATACAAATTTTTGGTGATTCGAAATTATGACGTCTTTTTTGCCCAAATACTTTGTGGACGTCCGTTAAGACGTTATCTATGGAGTCGGTTGGCCCTGACGGCCTAAACGATCCATTTTGAAGGTCAAACAAGCCCAAGAGCTAGTTATCCCCTCATTTTGCCAATTTTTGTGTGCTATAGTCCATGATATTTTTTGGTGATCCAGAATTCTGACATTTTCTCGCCCTAATTTTTTGTCAACGTCCATAATGACGTTAGCTATGGAGCCAGTTGGCCCTGACGGTCAAAACGACCCATTTTGAAGGTCAAACGAGCTCCGGAGCAAGTAAACCCCCATTTTGCCAATTTTTGTATGTTATAGTCCATGAGTTTCATATAAGTGTTCGTGGAGAAGTATTTCTGTAAGATTACCAATACCTGCACCCTCTTTTCTACTGGAAAAAATGAAAATATGTGCATTCAGATGCAAAGGCTTCTTATTCCACAACAACGAAAAACCCTTTTCACTCTTTCATATACTAGGGATTTCGGAGCGCCACCGTTCATATCTCGGAACCAAGGTTGGACGCGCCCTGATAATCCTGAAAAACCTTTGATTGCTTGGAGGCATCTGGAGGCTAACATTGACCAAGGGGATAAACATGGATGGCTTCTTAGTGGTTCTAGTGGTTGCAAACATTTGAGTGAGCTAACTTCATAGAATAATTATGGAGAACAGACAATTCCCCAGGATTCCAAATACGACTTGGATTGAACCTTCTGCCCCAGGGTTGGGGTGGGAGGGTGGAAATCAACCATTTTGCCTTGCCTCCCAGTTCTCATGTGCGCGTGTGGCCAATCTTCTTTTTTACTCTTTACTAGTCCACTAGAAGGGTTATTGTTAATAGACTAATAGAGCGAAAAAAAGAAAAAGCTCCTCACAATCAATGAGGGACACTCTCTCATAGGATCGCATAAATCAAATTAATAGAATCCTATTATGCTTATGAAAATAAGGATAAGACCGAGCTTACCAAAGTTCTATAGAATCATGATCACAATCCCATATCTTGACGGTAAGGTCATCACTGCAAATTAGAGAATTCAATGTAAAATCCGTTAAGTAGTGACAACAACAACTGTCCTATTTAAGATACACCCTCGACTTAAGAGTGTACATTTTAAAACAAATTCAGCAGAGAGAAAGTCATACCTGCAAGATACAATTCTACTTGCATGTTAACTAAAACAGAGAGACAGCACAGCAGAAGTATCTTCTCTGAAAGTTCAACCATGTAGCGGTGTAAGCTCCCAAACAATCTTAAATAACGTTACTGATAGCCTTCTTGGCCAAGCTTTCAAAATCAACTTATTCTTGAAAAAAGCGAAACACTTCACAGAAAAAGTTTTTTTCCAAATGAATTTAGATAATCTCTAGAACTAAAATCCGACCTATGACTGTTACATGAAGGTTCCAAATAATCACACAATGGAAGGTTTTTCAGGATATACGATATACTTGTAAAGTATCTAGATATAACTAAATGAAAAATATACTGCCAAATAATAATTTTTACCTGTCGGACTCGCCCAAAGTTTTAATACAAGGCCAATCACCACTGTCATAACTTGTCTCTTTCCAAACCTAAAGTTTTCGAGCACCACTAGAGATTAGATAATATCACTGATGAAAAGCATGCTAAACTCTTTATAAGAAAATAATACATGCACACACAGAGAGAATGTGCAGTATAACCTCTCAAATATACCTTAATGTTGTTATCACTACTAACGGACAATAACTCATTAACAGCATTCCATTGAACAATCTTAACATCTGCGGTATGTCCTTGTAACACTGAAGCACAATCAAACTCATCTCCAGGCAAAGCTTCCCATATCCAAATTGACTTATCACCTCCACATGTCGCAAGTAGTAGCCCTCGCATATCCCACGAAACACTCCTCACTTCATTCTCATGACCCTGGACATTATCCACATAATGAAAATAAGAAAGCAGACAGGATTTCGTCAATAAGGTAACACATTCCCTTATCACAAAGTCATTGTACCTTTAAAGTGTAGATACGCTCATAGGCATGATCACCAACATTTTTCCAAATGGCAGTGGTGGCATCAGAGCAACCTGCTGCCAACAAGTTCAATTCCCGTGACCAGGAACACGATCTAACAGTAGATGATTCCTCCAAAACAGCCTGCAAAATTTCCTTCTAAGAGTTATGAGAGCTCTTTTTTATGTACATGTTCAAATATTCATTGTGCTAGAGAAGGAACTTAAAGGAAAACAAATGGGGTTAATTAAATGCATATATAAGCTAAAAAGTATGTATGTCAATTTGACTAGCTTATAAGTTTAATAAGACACCTTCTTGCTAGAAATTTGTTAAATGGAACTCGACATAACTCAACCCCAAAATCTAACTCATAAGGGGCGATTACTCAAGTATTGATATAGACAAATCACTAGTCCAATTTCCAACAACTATGGGACGTTAACTTTAACACCCCTCTTCACACCTCGGTCCAACTGGTGCACCCAAATAAAAATGCACCTAGCTATGATATCATGATAAATGGACCTTAGCCGCCAATTCGATCCTGAAAATTAGCTCATCGGGAAGAATTTCCCACGTCCATATAAACATATCACATTCCCATTCTCCGAACAATGTACGACTCTAACCCAATTCTAACAAAAGAACAACTTATCAACATTTCTTTTTATCACAACTACTATTAACAATTTCAAAACTTCTATTTCAAACACATAACTATTTATTTATAACATCAGTTTCACCACTTAAAAAATGTTTTTCAACACTTGAAACTCTATCAGCTATTTACAATCAGCTAAGCCAAATGATAAAAATTGAGAAAATGAAAAAAAAAATCAAACCTTACACACGAAAAAGCCAGATAAGTTCTCTTCCCAGATCCGTATGGTTTTATCATCACTCCAGGATGCCATTACTGCCAGAAAACCCGATACGCCGGTGTCCACCTTCCAAGCTATGCCCAAAACTTTTCCGAGCTTTTGAATCTCTTTCAGTTCAAAATCGTCGTAGCTGAAGTTCTTCATGGCGGCGGAATTGTGGCGGCGAAGTGACTCTGCTGCTCAATATAAATGGGGGAATTTGATCAGATTTTGGTGATTTTTTGAGTGCGAATTGTACAGTGAGCTGAGAAAAGAGTACTTATACGTTACTTAAGTGGGCCTATTAAGTTAGTTACTTAGTTTATGAACTGACACTTAGACCCCTATAGTTTTTAAATAAAAGTTTCAGTTGATTACAGATTTCACCCAATTTGTCATTTCTTTTTTTTTTTAGTCCATCTCTACTTCAATTTGTCGGATTAAAATGGGATAAGTTAATAAATGAGCGATTTATTGACCCGTCAAGAAGTTATCGAGATTGTAATGAACGAAAAATGAGAGTCAAAAAATTTTCCTTGATTGTTGATTGTTTTCTTATATTTTTAATATACTTAATAAAACTATTTTTTTATTATGATAAATGCTCCATCCAAAAATAGTTTTTCATAGTACTAAAAATAGTTGTTGACTTGTCCAATTTAAAAATTAAGAGATAATTTAACTTTTGCTTCTATTTTATCCTTGTTATTAAGTACTCATTTATTATTGCACATATTTTTCAAATTATTAAATTTGATAAAGTCAAAGAATAATATAATAATATTACTCCGCAGACAACTATTGTTGGATAACAAAAGAAAAAGTATATAACATGTATTAAATTATATCTTGTAATATTATGATTTGTGTATATCTATTTGTACACATTCAATCTAGTTTGATATATTTAATGATGCAAACTTTATTTTACATTATATCTCGTATAAAACAAACTGGTTTATGCATAAAGAAATACTCCCTATCTTTGTTTTTAGTTGTCATGATTTTTTTTTCGGAATCAGATTATAAGAACTCTGACTAATATTTTACAATGTATTTTTTTTGTCATTTCGATAGGTAAGAAATTAAATTTATAGTACTTTTCGTATAGTTATTTAATATATAAATTTTTTGTTCAAAATATCGAATTAATATAATTTAATTTAACTTTAAAAATAAGTCAAATTGACTTTTCAAAAATACAACATAACAATTAAAAGTGGACAAAAAAAAAAGTGTATGACTAAAAGTAGGTACAATATATAAATGTGTTTTTAAACTTGGCCTATTTATGTTGAAATAAGGGCTTTGCCTTAGGCCCCCAAATTTCGGGGGGCCCAACTTTTTGTCAAGAATAAGTTATGCGTTAGAAATTTTATAGAAAAAAAATTGGTTAGTTATGATAAAAAAGTATAATTTTTTTAAAATACATTATTTTATCCTCTTTAACCTCTTTTGTACTTTGTAAGAAATAAAAAATTAATAGTGAAAAATATTGAAAAAAGTGAATTATTATTTCTCTTAAAATTTTAGTTTCAAGCATTAATACAAGTATGTTAAAATGAAGTATACCAAGTCATCCACTTCTTGAGTCAAATTTTATGATTTTAACTCTTATCTTTATTTAATAGTTGTCAACTTATTACTTATAGCATTATGTTAACAATACATATAATAATGACCTCATTGAATTGATGTTTTTGAATGTTGAGTTAATAAAATCTTACCAAAAATTAATAACTCAAAAAAAAATAATATTATACACCGATAGTTTTCATCTAAATAGTGTACTTGTAAGAACAATAAATTTTGTATAAATGCGTATATAAAAATTATTTATATTTTAGACCGCGAATTGAATTAATTTCGCTTTAAGTTCTCAATTACATTGAACCGCCCCTGATCAAGACCCATTTTGTGTTTTTTGCTTTTGATAACACTGATCTGGTGACAGTTTGGCACATGAAACAAACGTAAATTCTGTGAAATGGCACTTTGGGGTAAGTTACCGGAATACCACAGTGATAGAATTTTACATTTACTTGTTCATCTGTCATTGCCTTCAACTTAGCAATTAGTATGCTGCAAAGATGCTTTAAGCTCTGATCAGTAGCTGAGATCATTTGTAAGCTTCTGAGCGCGTTACTGATTAGAGGTGAATTAAGGATTTAAATTTTATGTGTTTGATCTTTAAGGTTCTTAGCATTGAAACTTGAAATGAATATTTGTTAACCTCAATTATTATTGACATATGTGTAATAAGTCAAGTTGCTTGAACCATCCAAAAATAAAAGTTTGTAAAATTTTATGTGTTCGATCTTTAAGGTTCTTAGCATTGAAACTTGAAATGAATATTTGTTAACCTCAATTATTATTGACAGATGTGTAATAAATCAAGTTGCTTGAACCATCCAAAAATAAAAGTTTGTAGCACCCTCCAAAAAATAAGGGTGGCTCAATGCCTTCAAAGATGAGGCATATGCCCTAGGCCCCCAATATCGAAGGGCCTAATTTTTTTGGTAATAATAAAAATTATCTTAAGTTTTTTGTAACAAAAAAAAATAAAGAATGTTTTAATTTGTTTTGAAACATTAAAGAATGTTTCTTTTTTATGGATCGATTTTTAAATTTAACTTCCACATGACATGTTTAAGACAACAAGATTAAAAAATATTTTGATATATATATACATATATATATATATCTTTAGTCTAAGATTATAAAAGAGTTTTTAAATTTTTTTTTTATTTAAAAGAAAGAAAAAATAATAATTAGAATTTAGGCCTCCAACTTATTTTGGCTTTTGACCACTAATTAGCTTGAGCCATTGCTTTCAACTTTGGGTAAAGTGTTTGCTGTGAATTCTTACATCATTGATAAATAATTTTGAAAGCGGAAATGATAAAATTGCATATTTGTTTTCTTGTTGTGCAAGTATAATGTGTAATAATAATATTTAAGGAATTATACGTTTATTTTCTTGTTTTGCAAGTATAATATGTAATAATAATATTTAAGAATTGTGACGGATAGATAGAGGCATCTAACCCTTAAGCAGAGGTCTCGAATTCGAGAAGAATAAAAAGATAGTTTTCCAGAAGTTTGAGGCTTCAACATGCTCAAAATAACTATAACAACATACATTGTTTTCGAATATCAACTGTGGAACTATGAGACCAGCAGGCCAAGGGCAAACAAACTCTCATATCTTCACTATTCCATCATCACTAGCGGATGTCAAACGCTTTTTATCTGCAAGGTATTGATAGAAGAATAATGTGAAGTCGTTAAATCACACGGGGTCTTAGATATATGTATTAGAATATTTGAGATATAATCATGTGGGAGTTTATATAAAGTTGAATCTAAATCCGCTGATGTGGCACCACCACAAACTAAGAAACTCACTTATTTATTTTTGTCAAATGTCAAAAACACGGCAAAAACTAATCTCCTTCCTAATTTTCATTTTCTTTCACACTTTCGTACTTTGAACACTATCACTATTAAACATTAAAGAAATGTTTATCCCAAACTACCGAATACTATGTTGGGTTGATACTGAAAGGTTGCTTATGGGAAATTTTGTCCTTCACTTAGTAGGAGGATAATGCTAAGTTACGTGATAGCTCGCGAGAATTCAACTTTGCTAGTGAATTTGATATCGTCTCGAAGAGATCTTTGTCCTCTAATATCAACATTGTATCGCTAAGTCAAATTCTTTTATTGGTTCGCCTTAAAAAAAGAAACTTACTTTAATCTCTGTGGTTTTCCTATTCTAACTGATGCAGGTGGACACCTACTATATTAAATTTCATTGTCTTAAGTCGTGTTTTAAAGACATAATACATATATTGGACCCTAAACTTGACTTCAAATTTTAATTTTGACCTCCAACTTTTATAATGCACAAACAAACATTTTAATTGTCCAACTTTTAAATAAATAAACACATGACACAATACACGTAGGACAAAAAATGACATGTAGGACATGCGTATCTATTTGTTCAACTTTATATAAGTTTAAGTATTTACTTGTGCACTCCCAAAATTGAAGAGCATAAATATGATTCAATGTCAAGTTAAAGGGCATATTTATATATTATGCCTTTAAGAAAACACTATGTTTTTAGTTCATGATTACTCAAAGAGATATAATTTTTGTCTACTTAAAATAGAACAAATGTATATATTGGGTCTTTGCTTTTTGCCGGACCGTAAATTCATGAACATCGTTATGCTATTCCTAAGTTGCTTAAATGAGTACTTCTAGGGAAGGTGTTCATAAATTGTCACACTTTTACAAGGATCCCAATAATTTTCCGTTACATTTAACGTATTGCAATTTTTTCTATGTTCTATTTATTGTTGTATTTTTATCTACTACTTCGTTTTGTGTTACTTGAACATGGCAAAAAACCTTTTCAGACAGGGATAAAATAAGTTTCTGCTCTATCCTCGCCATTCCAATGTCTTTTGCCTAGGAAATTATTGCAATCAATGATGGATGAATATAAATAAAATGATTTGCTGAGACATTATTTAATCCAAAGGAGTATATGTTGTTTGATCAAATTAAAAAAGATGTGATTTGTTATGTTCATTAAATTTGTCAACTACACAACAAATTCAATAAGATGCACAACACTTGGATTTTGGATTAGGTATGAAGAGACCTTGCATACAAGGGCAGACCCCCTCAGCAAAAAATTATGTTGTATATTTAATATGTTTTTAAGAATTTTTATGTTAATATATTGATTTTGAACCTCCTGTATATAAAATTAGGGGTTGGCTTAGCGGTTTTGGGGTTCAAACCACTAATTTTTTTTTCAAACCCCCTTAATGAAAATCTTGAATCCGCCACTGCTTGCATAGGATAAAAAATACTCAAATTGATGAACCAAATGTTATTAACTCTTCGTGAAAAGATAAACATAGGGAATGAAATCAAATATTCTTAGACAAATCAGTGTACTCCCTTAAAAGCACAAATATTACTAATGATCCTAGGTAGGCTAATTGATGTAGTGCATCACTGTGCGAAGCGCGGACAACTTTCCTAGTTTATTTATAACATCAGATTCAGCACTTTAAAATGTTCTTATTAGTTTCACATTATATCTCGTATAATAATAATGACATAGATTTAGCATAAAGTAATACATGCATTATTTTAATAGGTATAATAGTATATAAATGTGTCATTTAACTTCACTAATTTTGTACATTGTTCAACTTAAATTCATATAAAATTAAATAAGTAGATAAACACGTTTTACTTGACATAAACAAATCAATTTCTTACGTGACAATTCGCGTGAAATTCACTTAGAACGTCACATATGACATATATGTCTATTTATGCATAATTAAATTCAAAAACAAATATATTAGTTAATGTCAAGCTAAACAATACATTTATCCATTATTATATTATGCCTATTTAATATTGTCAAACAAACTTCCATATAGTCATGAGTGATTTAAAATTAATTTTCTACCTCTAATTAAGGTGCAAATAGATGCTACTAAAATTGAATTTTTCTTTTCTTTTTTGGTACTTTTGCAACTTGTATTTCTTCATTTCCTCTCTTCTTTGCATCTTCAGAATTTCTACTCTTTGCTGCAATTTTATTTGTGTTTTATTTTTGAAGGTGAATTTGACGTAATTGGTAAAGTTATTGATGTCGTAAATTTAGCATAGCCTCGTGAGATCAAAATTCATGTGCGAAGCTTAGTGCACCGGGCTACCCTCTCAAAAGACCATCCGCACACCAAATGTTTGTTATAATGCCTAGCTGACGAAATTTCAAAATAAAACTTTTCAGAGAACTTTCAGTATTTCAAACATCTGTAGCTTCTCAGAATGATTCATAGGCGAGTTACATCAGTCTTAAATCTTGGTGGGAATGCGATATTATCGACTGTGAAGGAGCTGGGCAATGTTGGTCCATTGTATTCAACTGTATCAGCCATGGAAACTCTACCAAGAAAGCTGAAAAAGGCTGAAAAAAAACCATGGGTGACGAGTGTTAACGAGCTTAAGCGGAGAGCAAGATTTGAAAAGCAAGAGAGAAGGGTGGTACGTGAAGTTGCACTGCGGCCACCGGAAAATGGGCTATTAGTTGAGAAGTTAATCCCTGTTGCTCATCGTGTGTTAGCTTCAAGAGCTCAGTTGTTAGCTTGTGTTTCGAGGATTTCGGAGGAAATTCCTATTTATTTCTGCAGGTAAGATTCATTTGTGTATCCAAAAGTTGCTCGGACTCTTCAAAATTGTTGTCATATCGGTTTTGGATACACTTATTCAACACACATCCGTTGACAATTTTGACGAGTTGAGCAACGCATCTATGCAAACTTTGTTGCAATTAATCATATGTGAAAGAATAAAATGGTCAAAAAACACACCTGAACTATCACGTTTTTACTAGTTTCACACTCCAATTATAATATTCTTGCCATGTTATACACTTGTACATCTATAGTTCTATAACAAGTTTTCAACTTTAAATTCTTTATTTCAAGTTGAAGTTTGAAATAATGAATTAAATTGTTAAGTAAACATTGATTTGCAAATAATAGATCAAGTTAAGTTGGAATAATGAAATAATTAGTGCAGACAAATGTAAGTATTGGAATGAATTAGACTTGACTAGAACACAACAGATATCGAAGATTCATATGGCTAACTCCTGCTGATTTGGAGTCGAGGCCTTTTTAATTGATGGAAGATTGACTATCTAGCAACTCATTATGAAATTCAACTTTTTCAATCGTCGAGCAATCAGGTCTGTGTTGTGATTTTTGTTCTTTTGTGCAGCTTATGTACCGAAGTTCATGTTGGTCATCCACCACATAAGATCAGAACTTGCGATGTTAGCGGCAGTCAGAAGAACAAAGAGCATACATGGCAAAGAGGGGGCGTAGATCATGTATTACCTGTTGTACAATCTTTTCATCTCTATGACAGGTTAGGAAGAGCTGTTTCACATAACGAGCGACTTGAAGTTGATCGCATCCCAGCCCTTGTAGAATTGTGCATTCAGGCTGGTGTGGACTTACCTGAGTACCCAACCCGAAGAAGGAAGTTCCCCATTTACCGGGTTGCTGGAAAACTCATAGATTTTGAGAAGAGGTTTCCCAAGGATGATTTGTTCGGGAAGGACGTAGAAACTTTTAGGTCTAGGGAAACTATTAAGAAGCACATCGGAGATGGAAATTATTTGAATTTACCCTACGATGACATAAAAGGTTTGTCTTTATGTTACTACAATGTTTTCACTTATAATTATTAGTCATTTTTCAATGTGCATTTTCCTATTAAAATACATCAATTTCCTCTCTAGAGCTTCAAGCTATGTTGCTCAGAGTTTCCAAAATTGTTGCCGCACCTGTGTCGACCTCTCCAAAATGCACTACTTTTACAGTATCCGACACGGACCCGTCGACATTTTTGAAGAGTCTAAGCATCATAGACTTAAAAGTATGTTAAAGAATTATTACTTATGGTATGACGAAATTTCTAGTTTGATTTTCTACTACTTATCACTTCTCCAGGATTCGCTATGCGAGGAATGGAAGCTTGGGAGACTATGCGTACTGGAGCCATACAGCTCATGAAAACTTATGGCGTTCAAACATGTGGATATTGTCCTGAGTTGCAAGTCGGGCCAAAGGGGCATAGGGTTAGGCAATGTCAAGCCTTCAAGCACCAGATGAGGGATGGACAACATGCTTGGCAAGAGGCAACAATAGATGATCTTCTCTCCACTGTATATGTTTGGCATGTCCAAAACCCGCATGCTGGTGACGTTTTGGTTGATTCTATGAAAAGGTATTATGGAAAGTTACCTGCAGTCGTTGAACTGTTTAGTCAAGTTGGAGCACAGGTCGGAGATGATTACTATCACATGATGAGAGATGATGTTGTAGTTCCTGGACGAGATGAAGAAAAGTTAGTTGTATAAAGCTCTGAAATGCTGCCAACATATTGGCAGAGTAGAATCAACATTAGACCGAAGACATTGTTTGCTTGGTTTGATTTCTGCTAGTGAGGATAAACCCAAGACTGTATCGTTGCCAGAGCTCGTTTGTTGTTAGGGTAAATCTATGCAGTTTCTGGCAATTGAAACTTCAACTTCATGTTGAGATACAACCAACTTTTCTTGCCTTTAAAATTAGGACAATGTATAGAAGGTACTATTATTAGGAAAAGTAACAATAGTTTCATATCGACCTTTAAGATGTTTTAAATGCATGTCATTGTGCATCTATAAAAGCATGTCATTAAGGATAAAATGTGCATAACCAAAGTGTGCGCTAATCCAAGTAAATAGATGCTCATATTTTCACAAACCACATTGCTTCTAACATTCATTATTTACAGAGATGTCACACTTTAAGGTATGAATATATATGCCTTACAGGGTGATCTTCTGCAACTAAACTCAGATGAAGAAACATCATATTTAAACCAATCAAACAGCCATGAAAAATGTCAAACAATTACAACATTGTAAATAAGGCAGAAACTTCAAAGAGCTGTTTTAAAATCCAAAGTAGGTATAAAAATTAGATCTTTGAGGCAAAACTGATGCCCTCCTGTGCCAATTGATCCAAGGTAGCAGGGGGTTGAACCTTTGCAACCTTAGCAATTGCCTTGTTCTCTTCAGGTGACCCACTCTCGAGGAATGCACCAACGATCTTTCCATCTTTGATCCAGTATTGTCCAAACTTGTGAGTTGCAGAGTTGGGATCAGCGTCCCCAAAGAGCACTGTTTCACCCACATTATCACCGTAGAATTGCCAAGACAAATCGAAGGCGCGGGAATAGAAGTATGGAAGGTAGTCATATTCATCGACAGACTTCCCTTGCTCACTGGCAAATATTGCCTGCACCAGCAACAATGTAACATTAACATTTTTACTTCATAAGAAGATGTGGAGTATGAGAATTTGTAACTACATTTGACCGAGTTGATTGACAGAGTAGAAAGACACTAGCAAACTGCAGAAAGCTATTCTAATAAGTCACACAGTGGAAGCAAAAGATAACCTGTGTGCTGTGTGAGTGTAATTTAACGTTGCATTGTTACAAATTTGTACTCATGCCAGGACAATAAACAATCAGTAGGCATGTAGAATGGAGATAGTTTTCAGTATTTGAACACCCTAATCTGCATGTGTAGTGTGGTTCAAATATCCAGTTTATATCATGACTCATGAGAGCAATCACGGTTGACCAAGTAAAGAATCAACATATTATAAGCAGGATGACGATATAAAACTTTCATATAAAACTTCCATATCAACTCTGGATAGCGTCAGGGAGCTGTCACATACCTTGACAGCCTGCTCAGCAGATTTGCGAGAATGATCAACATGTTCAACTCTTCTAATCTCATTGTACATTTTCAAAGGAAAAGTGGCAACATCACCCACAGCATATACATCAGGTACACTTGTTTTGAAGAACGCATCTGTCTGCAAAAAAAAGCCTTGGTGTAAGTACAGGAATAGTGTCATTTTGAATGGAACATGACATAATCCATTGTAATTCTGATACATAGGAGAAACAGCTTATAGCTTGACAGGAACACAGTTTTAGTTCAACATGGAAACTATAAAACAAGTTCATTGATTTCCACTATTTGATGCAATTTCTTATGTGCAAAATTAGCTCATTTCTTTGTATTGACTAAAGTAGCACCACAATTTCCGGAATACATTGATCTGTTCCTTCAACAAATCATCCCAGTTGCTCTCCTCTATTTTCGAAGCTTATACTGAACTATTTAATTTGTTTTGGTACATTATACTGCAAATTCAAAGGTTTAACCATGAAAATGACAAAATTATCAAAAAGCACGCAAGCCAGAACTTATTAAAAGGATGAGTACTGAACAGTGAGTGCACACCTTAATTCCACCCTTCTCCTCTTCAACTTGCCCTTTGAATAGAGTTGTGAGTGGTCTTGCTCCGACTCCTACGACTACTATGTCAGCTTCCAAAACTCTGCCATCTTTGAGTTTGACTTCCTTCACCTGCAAATTCAAAACAAGAATGCTGTGAGGTAATGCTCTAAAGCTCAACCAGATTTCTCAAAATGGTAGAGTCTAGAGAAAAACCTCTCCATTTGGATGGGTATCAAACCCAACAGCCACTGTACCCTTGATAATATTGACTCCCTTGTTTTTATAATAACCTTCATAGAACGCAGCTATGCCCTCTGTGAAAAGCCGAGGCACTGGAAAATCATAAGGATTACAGTAAGATAACAATACAATTAAGCAGGACAATATATTCTCCATAACAGACTACCATGAAACAGTGTAACATTTCATGTTATGCATGCAGTGTGCAAACTAAACGCAATTTACTTACTGCACCATGGTTCTGGGTAAACCATATTGACTTCAATGTTGTTCAGTCTCAGTACAGCACTAAGCTCGAGACCGATGTACCCTCCCCCAACAACAACAGCTTTACCATTTTTCTTAGCTTTTAATGCTTCCACAAGTTGATCAGCATCATCGATTTCTCTCAAGTAAAAGATATTCTTGGAATCAGCACCTTGTACACCAAAATCTGACAACTTCAAAACCTGAATAGACACAAACAATAAATTAATCTAATGACCAAAGAAAATTTTTAAATTAAACAACACAACCACGTTTCCAAGAGACTCACGGTGGATCCTGTTGCAATAACAAGTGTTTGATATTTAAAAGATTCCCCAGCTGCACTAACAAGAGTCTTTGAAGCAAGATCTGCTTTCACTATTTCAGTACTCAGGATCAACGAAATGCCTACAAGATGAGACCAGATGATTCATAAGAGATGTGTCTTCAACCAGATATACCACCATATGTAAAGTTAACAGAAGTCATGCATGGCCATATGTCTGCAAATAATTGCTTAAACACAGAGACTATTTACCTTTCTCTGCATACCACTCAGGAAGCTGTCTCTCTCCTCCACTTCCAACACACACATGAAATCCTGGGAGTCTAGCAGCTCCTGGTAGATCAACGGATATGTGTTAGGGAAAAGATTTTATGATACCAGGTCAATTTCAAATGTTTAAAAAGTACAGCAGCTTTTTGACTTGGCAATTTGTGACAAAACTACATGAGATGACATTCTGTAAAATAAATCATGCTCAAATTGTTTTTCTTTTTTCATTTTTTTTCTTTGCTAGTAGGACAAGCAATGATCTTTCTACAAGAAAAGTTGAGATATATTTTCAAATGTGTCTGCAAGGACTTTAACTACAAATAAAGATGATATGCATTTTCCATAATAAGACTTTTATTCAAGTCCACATCCACATTACCACTTACGGAAGTCAAAATTAACTATCCAAGGAAAAAAGAAGACTTGCCTTCAGGAAAAAGGTATGCCTTGCTAAGTGCAGGACGTTCATAAGGAGCCACCTGAGGTAGAAAAAAACTTTTTAGCAATCAGATCAAATCTAACATTATTTTCCTGAAAGAAGGAAAGATTGTTAGATGTAAAACAGGAAAGAATGGACATAAGAGTAGATAAGTTGCAAAAAAAAATCAACCAAAGAGAGAGAAAGATAGGCATAGCCTAACACACTAGGGACAACAGAGGTGTGATCAGAACTCGTTTTGGGAAGATTAGTACAAATTTACAAGCAAATCGTAGAGTACCAAGACACTTTTCCTATCCAAATAGACAAGAATATATCAAAGGGAATTTAACAATATTAGCTAAGGAATCATGAATGTACTTTCAGGAAATTTACAAGTATTAGCTGATGAAAAATTAGCTTATAACATCAACCACAGAACTTAGAGATTCTTATATAACTCTAGAGACCAATGATACAATATTTACAGAAAACAAAACAAATGATCCCTTTTCCAAAATGAAGTCCACACAAGCAGAAATGCAACTAGTATCTAATATTAAATTAGTGAAGGCAAGAAAGCAGTACAAAATACTTACTGCCTCTTTGGAAATAATAGCCAGTTCCCCAGGCTTAACTCCCTGTTTGGCAAATTCTCTAGCAGCATACCCCTGCAAATGCAACCAAACTTGTTAAATTCATTTACGAACACGAATTCAAAAAAGTTGAATGCATAAACAAGAAGATTTGTTCCTACAAGATTTCAGAAACAAAACTATAATCCTTTATTTCAGCTAGTTCCTAATAAATCTTTTTCCACATCCTAGGGAAAGAGGTAAACGTAGCCTCTTTGTCAATACCACGGAAAAACGAAACGTACAGTTACAGTAAATACAAAAAGGAATCTTCTATACAAACAAAGAAATAATTCGTGGGCAGAAGTAGCAATACATATCTCTACTAGAATCCTAATCATTAGTTATCCCAAATAAGAGGAATGACAAATTAGGGAACTTATATGCCAGTTACAATATTCTAATGAAAGATTTAGAGTTCATTACCCAACCATTCGAAGATATCTACAATTTCTAAGCCAAAGGACAAAATAGAGGAGACTGGGATACTTTAACTCATCAAATCACATTAAATTTTGTGTCAACTGGTTATAACCATCCAAAGTAAATAGCAATAAGTATGCCATGATCTCTTCCTCCCAATATCTCAACTAGACAACTAGTAGGTTCTACATTTTCAAATCACTTCGTACTCAAACCCTCCAAACTCCATTTCTAAATGACTCATTTCAACAATTAAGCCAAAACAATGAAGGGATATAAGCTTACCTACAACAATACTCTAGCTATCACTCTCCAAAATCTAACAACTGAAATGAAGAATAAAGTAACACAAACACACACACACACAAGGATGTATACGAGCACGTGTATCCGTCTCAATATATCACTTCGTATTGAAAGCATCTCTGATCTAACTCCATTCCTAAGCAAATCAACCATTCCACAGCAGATTGAAACACTAAATGGAAATAATTCTCGCTTTCAAACTCCATAATCTAACAGTTGACTATCAAAATATTAAGTAAAACTAAAAATACATGAATTTACGTTTGTACAGAACCGTGCACCACACTGTCTCTCTCAGTTATCCTTAAAAAAATAACTTCTATATCTTAATATTTATCAGTGTGTATATGTACAGATGCAGGAACCGAAACGCCATTTCACTATGCTAACTTTCAGATCTATTGTAAACTATACATCACATCGAATAATTCTCACCGGAAAATCATCAAAAAAAAAAAAAAACTAGAACACGAATTCCGCAATTCCGAACTCAAATC